AACACGCGGGCCTACTTGAGCTGGCGGGCTAGCTTCTAATAAAACGCAGGTAGCAATGCACTGGGTTCGCCCGTGCCTTTATGCGTTTTTGTGCTAAACTTGACGCAGTGAAATGGTTAACAATATGAATGGTTATTGCTCTGTAGTTTAACACGTGCAACTTATGGGCCTGTGGTTTGGTCTTGTATGCGGGAGAAAGGAGCGTCGCACAGACATGCTCTTGAAATTATGCGTTTTGCATTTGCATAAGATGCAAAATGCAAAAGACAGTTTTTTTTTGTCAAAAACAGATAAGTTATACATTAAAAAAATAAGCAGCAGATTAATTTGAGCTCTGGGCTTGAACTTTTGACACAAAATTGTTGAAATCTAGATTTATATCGCTGACACAGAGTCTACAGTATTTTTCATATTGCCCCCTGTTAATCTCATGCATATTTTAGTTTTATTTATTTTCATGAGAATGCAGAGACGTAGCGTAATAGAAACCCCCGTTCGTCTAGTTGTGCACCACATTCCGATCCCCTCTGCGGGCCGCCGACTGCCCACTCGTGGGCTAGCATAAGGAAGTGGGAACGAGTGAAGTTGTTGTTGCGTAAGCACAGCAGCGGATAGAAGTGTTTTCTTTTTTGAAGTCAAAAATTATTTCCTTTCCAGAAAATTTTCTTAGCGTAGCAAAATCGCGTTTTATCGAGTCATACCTTTCGTAGTAGAACTTGTTTCTTTGTGTTCATCGTACGTGAAATTTTCGAAAGGGCAGCTTCAGCATGTTTTTTTTTTAAAGCAGCTACCACAATCGTCGTACTAACGAGACCAGTTGTGGTAATGGTAAGAAATGTATACGGCTTAATGAGCCAAAACGTTTCTTATCATTATAATAATTTTATTAAAGTGATTTTACTACTTACCATTGCCACAACTGGACCTCGTGATTTCACCACTTTTACTAATTTCTTAATTCTTATTTTGGAATTTCCTCTTTTATTCTCCTTCCTATTTCAGTAAGCCTTTCTGTTGAAAGCATTCCTGGAAGAGATTACCGATGCAATCAGCGGATGATTACAGCTGGCAAAGTGCTGTCACTCGGGCCACTTCGAAATGCTTCATCCTCACAAACGAAAGAAAGGGAGGGCTCAAAATAGCTGCGAATTCTTTTCAATCACGGATGCTTAGTAGTGGTGCTTTTTTCCAGACACTGCAACATGGTGCTGGAGGGCGTGAAAGAAATGTGGACGGAATTGCCGAAGACCGGCAAAGGCAAGAAGAAGGCGAAACCGATGGCCAAGGATCGCTTCATCCCGAAAATGTTTTTGCGTGGTGATTCGGTAATTATTGTTTTAAAAAATCCTGCAGTTGCTACGGAGAAGACAGTCTCATCGAGCTGACGTGACGGAATTCGAAAACTGCAGCTTGCACAATTACCCGCATTGTGTGTTTCCCTTATTACTTTATTGTGTATTTTACTCGTTTTTCATGCTCGTTAAATATCCAGTTGTGCGATACATGCACGGAATTCATGTTTCAGAAATAAAGCATTATAAGCAAAGTAAAAAACGCATGAGAAGTTTGAGCAGCCAGCCTGCCCCCTCCAGCAGTAAAGCACATGCAACTTCTTCCCTCGTGCACTCTGGCAGTTAAATTATCCAGACATTATTCACAATGGCACAGTCTCGCAATAATGCATTTTTTTTTTTTTTTTGTTTGAAAAACTTAGGAAATGATAGCACAAACATTACTCAGTGGCAGGGATTGATATGCGAAATCTGCGGTATTTTTTTTAAGGAAGCTTGTAGCAGCCTAATTTGACGCTGTTGCCAGATTAAGAGTCACAGTAGTATAATCAAGCACACATATTCATAGTGTCAGATCTCATCGTTTGGTTTGGTTTTATGGAGGTGTTGAGAAAACGCAATAGGTTTTTTCCGGTCACTCACCGATACCACTTCCGGGATTTCTTAGAAGGGCGAGCTTAGCGATGAGCATCATTGGCAGTATTTAATTAAGACGAAAAAACATCGTGGAGGGCTTAGCGATGTTATTCTTCACCGAGCACACAAACAAGAAGTCAAAAAACCGGGTTCTGAATAAAAAGATTTCGGAAATACATCGATAATCATACATACAGTTTAAGTTCAGAAATATTTGGGAATGCCAAAACCGCTCGAAATAAAGAGCACATGGGGATCCACGCTAGTAAATATTACTAGGATATTCCCACAAGCATATCACCATTTAATACCTTCCGCTTTTTCAATGTATGTGCGCACCTTGCGGAGTTTCTCCAATTCTTTTTTTAC